TATGTATGTATATATATATTCCATTATATATTCTTATAAGCAATTGAAATATTTCATTTTGAACATTTTATGAAGATGAGCTGATTTTTCAACTCTCATTTCACAGCATCGGTGGATGAGAATTGCACAAAACAGAACACTCTCCCCTCTGAGAGAAGTCCCCCTGCTTTTTTATCAGCATTAATTTCAGCCCTAACACGATAACTAGTTTTCTGCAAATGGATTTGGCTTCAAAGTGGCTCTGCCTCCACTGAGCTAACTGCACAACAGAGGCTAATGGCTAAAGCAAGGACCTTTGGAGGCTTCTGTTTCTTGTATTGGGCTCCTGCTCCCCCTGAATGCCAAAGAGTAACAGATTATCTAAACTACATCTACAACTCCACTGCTTTTGTGCAGTTAAAATGTTAATGTTGGTATATACTAAAGGAAAAGAAGCAAGAAAAAAAGCTGACTATTAAAGAGAACAGGCTTGTACTCTCTGCAGCATCTATACCTCAGCGGGATTTCATGTTCTAAAGCTGATACACACTGGGAAAGCCTTTCTCCGTACAGAAGTGCAGTCCATTCAGTGACATGAGCTCTTTTCTTGCCAGCAAAACAAACCTTGAGGTCTTTGCTTGCTTCCCCCTCTTCTAGTCTCTATGTCCTGCTGTGTTTTTATTTTAGAAAAATAGTTTCAGTTCTCCTCATAGACAGCTTGCTTGAATGTTATGATAAATTTAAACTTGGATTTTGCCATTTTCATCTGTAGCATCATGATGCACAAGGACCCTCTAAAAGTGGTATGTCTGGTGTTTCTATTCCTTTGTTTCAGGTTTACATATTTAAATAATGATTCTTCATCTCAAAATTCAGCCAACTGACAGTGATCATCCCCAAACCAAATACTGAGTGTTGTGTTGGAGGGAGAGGCGTAAGGGAGGAGAAAGCAAAGCAAAATACTCTTTCACTCATTTCAGACAGATGAACATTTGGCCTATAGGCTTCACTTTCAGTACCGAGTATTTTTCCTCATCTTCTAGACTTGCTTTGCAAAGTAACCTAGTTATCTTCTCTGTTAAATAATCAGCACTGGGGTACCTGATAACCCTAGGTGTTAACAATGTGGATTAAATATTTAAGGTATTACACAAAGAGATGTACGTAGGAAGATTTTAACTAAACACAGCCCAAAATCCTTACAGTGAATACATCAGGCTGAAAAAGATTTAAGTCTTATCGCCTTTATCTTTTTCTGTACTGACAAAGCGCTATCATAACAAGTGATCTTATAAAAGTCAGAACTGTATTATATGGTTACAAAGGTTTTTGCAACTTTCCAGTATCCACAGCAAGAATTCTCAGACTGGAGTCATGCAGCCTGCAAACTGCCTGGAGATCTTGCTGGGTCCCTGCCTCACCATTTCCCATTTTCAACCAGTGAACTGCACTAACAGAAATGAAGGTATTTAATACTTTCCTAATACTGCCTTCTAATGCAGGAAAACGGCTGTGAACATTCCAGCAATTACATTCTCGGCCATATAAGAAGGTGGTCTGCCTAACAGTAATTATGAAGGTAGGTACTAACAAAATTATTTTGTGGTCAGAAAAGCCTAATAACCAGCAAATCAAAGGAAATATGTCCTCTTCCATGGGTAGTCCAGAAGGCAACATCATAGACTAATACTTACTACACCTTTTCCTATGTACTTAAAATGTTACGATTGAAGAATTTTTCTGCCTTGATTATCACTCATAACTCTTGAATCTTCAGAGTCTTAAGCTGAATTAATTTAGAAAGAAAACAGCGTGGTTTCAAACACCACATGGTACATACAAAAAGAACAGCCAAAAGTCACGCGTTTTTGGTTCCAGTTTTTCTTATGAGAAGATAAAGACAGTGATGCTAAATCTGACATACAGGATTAGCAACAAAAGAACAGAGAGCGTGCCTCCAAACTACGAGGGCTGGCAGTGGGGATACACCATACTCTCAACTCTCTCCATCTGCCACACAGTCAATGTGAGCTGTATCAGAGCAACCATCTGAGACTCACTGATCAGTCCAGCATCTGCCACCCTGACCCCAACTGAAGCTCTACTGACCCACAGTTGTGTTGAAAATGCAGCTTCAGAGTCATAGCAAGGAAAGTGCAAGTACGAGAATGTGATCTTTAGATAAATGGAAGTTTCTGTTAGTACTGGCTGCCTTGTGTCTCACAGTGCAAGCACATCCGTGCAGAGTGCTATCCTTCTCACTACGCCAACCTAACTCTGAATAGTAAGGGTGTGCTGGCGCATATGTCTTTATATGTCAGAGCAAGCAATGACAAACTGGACACGTGACTGCAGATGGCCCTTCAGAGTTAAATCTGGCTTGACTCAGGAGCTAGCTCCAGGTTTGAAAGCAAGATGCCAACAACATATTTATCTTGTTTGTCCAGCATTAGCAAGACGTGCTTCTAAATATATAAACTGCAACCTAGGAAGTATCTTTTGCATTCAAAAAATGGTTGTGTAAGGGGCTGTGGTTCTTTTGACTTACCAGGAGATGGCGGCTGAATCTTAGGTTGTTTCTTCGTATCTCCAGTGCTGAAGACTTCTGGAGGGGGCTCCTCCCCTCGCTCAATCTTGCACTCAAAGGCAAACAGGTACTGGATGTATTGTTTTTTCAGGGAGCTGGCTGCGCTGCTAGAAGTGCCAACGTTCAAGGTGGTTGCCAGCTCACGCCACTTCTTGTTTTTATTAACCTAGCAAAATAAATAGCAGAATCATTGGTTTGCATCGAAGTGGTTTGTTTACGTCAGGAGACAAAAATGGGGAAAAAAGGCCAAAAAAAAGCACTTAATGTCTTGGTTTACTTTATTTATTTTCCTCTTTTAACTAATGCTCATTACTCCCACACGCAGTAATGCATAGATGGCATTTACAGTTATAAAACCATTAAGGAACCTGCTGATAGCTACATAAAAAGCTTTGCTAGTGGAGATCCTTCTGCATGGTGCATCTTTTAAATGCCTTGCGCTCTTCCAGGGCCTGTGCTCTTCAGTTAGCAATCCATCTCCAGGCAAATGCACACTCATTCTCCCTCTCTCCAACACCCACCCACAGCCACCCCGTTCTAATTAAAAAGCAGCTTCTAAAAACTAATTTTGAAAGCAATAACAGCATTATTCTGCAATTTAAGTGTTTGAGCACTGATAGGAAAAATATTTTTTTCTTCAAAATAGCCAGCAGCTGTCAAGCTGTAATTCCTGGTTCAAGGCCTTTCAGTTCAGGTTGTCTTGCAGGGACAGATCAATGATCCCTTGGCTGGATGAGAAGCAGAGTGAAGCGAGGCCCCTTAATTAATTAAGGCAGACTTCAAACACACAGGGCTGGTCCAGCAATACTCTGTATTACAGTGCAGGCTGCACAACTCTGCTGCGAGTCTTGTTTGCAGTGCAAGGCTGAGAATATTGAAAGACTCTGTTCATGAGTTCCTCAAACACAGCTGATCTGTAATAACAGCAAAGTTCATTTGTCATCCTGGACGATGCCTCTGGCTTCCTCAGCTGTACCACTCACAGCAGCCAGTATTTTTGCTGTAACACCTGATGCCCCACAGTTCATTCAACCAGTTGTGCAATTGCTAGGTATGATCTGAGGAGGGGAGGCAGCACTGAAATAAATGAGCTTTAAATGTCTGAGCATCTCAGCTCTTGTTGGGGAAGAATGCTGATTCTTGTGCACCAGGATGACTGCTACTTGCCCTGAGTCCTAAGATTTTAATGACTCCAACGTAACTTGTATAGCTACAAAGGTTATCATTAGCCACACCGTTCCTAAGCCTGCATGCCAGCAAAGGAAACATTTCTATTTCTCTCGGTGTTTAATAACACCTGCCAGTCAGCAAAGATCTTCTGGGGCTACCATTAATAGCAAGCAGGTTGGTATGGCTGTGCAAAGTGTTTTTATTTCTCTGGTACATCCTGCAAGAACCCAGGAGTTAAAGGAGACAGATTTTCACAAACTCCTCCTGTTGAGGCTTGAAATCCAGTTACAAAGCCTTTTGTGCCCACTGACTTACAGATAACTGGTGCGTAATGAACACACTGCATATTGGAAACAGCAACATTCATGCCTAAATGCCCAGTATATTGGCATCTAAAAGAAGACTGCCGACAGCTGGTCTGTTCACGTTGGAACTCCATCGGTTGCAATCATTCAGACAAGGAGCATGCGCCGCTGCTGCACAGCTCCGCTCCCTGTCACTCTATGGGCAGAATCATGGGATGTGGAGTTGAAGCAACAGCTTTTTAAGAGAGCGTCACACAGATGCATCCAATAAACCTCAGCAAGCAAAGCTCTGCACCTCGCAACAGCCCCAGACAGATGAACATGGTGATTGTTCACATGGGCACACCAGCACAACCAGGAGCCTTTGTTTTCAGTGTCAATTTTCACCGGTGCTGAAGTACACACATTTGAAACTTGGGCTCTTTCAAAAATCAGTCTGAGTGAACAGCATCTATTCTTTGGCAATACACACTGTGTGTCACTGCAAATCAACACTGACTGTCCCAAAATAAAATACATTTCCATAATAAGCAAACATAAATGACACTCTAGAATATCCCATCTGCCCCCCATCTTGCTTAATTTTTGATGCTAAGAGTCAGAGTGTGGGCACAATCACGCTGTATGAGGCAGAGCAGCTGCATGATACGATTTACCTGTAATAAAGTTTCTGAGCTAAAAGTAATCACATCTTTATGATGCTGAGGGGCATGAGCTGATCACTAAAAATGTCAGGATAACATCTCTTACCCATAGACAGCATTTAACACCTTGCAAGGTGAACTATATTAGGTTTCTCTGCCTTCCTTTAATAACAGGTTTAGCTAAAATTTCTGCAACTGAAGGGGCGATGTGGTCAAATCCTATCTTGTGAGGGGTACTACCCAAAATAGCATTAAAATGGTACTAATTGATGCTGGACATTTCTTTTGTGAACTAACCACACAGATTATTAAAATGTGTTCCCTTTCTCAGGACCTACTTTGTTTGCCATATTTTTGAGTTCAGATTCTGTAATTAGTGTAAAATTGTATCTATTTAAATATTATCTATATTAAATACTGCATATACATATTTATCTACATAGCTATGTTTAAGACCTCATCTTGCAAAGCACTGAACATCCACAAACGTTCTTAAATCCACAGAAATTATGGGTCTCAGCACTTCACAGCCACTTCTAGCACCCAGCCAAAGTGATCGCCTAGATACAAGGGATGCTTTATAACAGCATCAGGCAAGGATAGATGACTTTGAATACCAAATCTAAGGCTGCAAATACTGACCCATTTTCTTCTGCTTTCCCTTCTGATGGTGCTACACAACAGAATGTTTCGTTTTGCTCTGTGGTGGTCAGTCTTACAGAACTCACAAGCAATTTCCAAACATCTTTTTGCAAAACTTCCAGTTAACTGGCGAGAACATAAACCAAAGCTTCTCTCTCCTATCTGTGGCTTTATTATTCTCAGCTGCTCCTGCTTTCATTTTCCTTCATCTCAATTAAGGAATTCACCTTTTCCTTGTAATCACTAGGTTGGTAAGGCAAACCCAAAATATCTTGTTAGCATTTTCCAAACACAGGGAAAGCACGGTCCGTGCCTAAGAACCAAATGTACCATACAGAAACACTCAGATGAATGTTTGGGACGAAGGACTGCATTGCAAGAATGTATCTGCCACTTTTCTGGAGAGATGACTTAGTTTGTCCTACAGGCAGCATCCCTACCTGGGAAGGATAGAGCTGAAAACAAAAGGAGATTCTGGAATCCATCATCTGTTTCTTACTCATAACTCTGATCCAATGACCTTTTCCTCTTGTCTTCTCTTAGTGGTACTACTGGATTCCTCTGAATAGGTAACAGTTTAATCTGTCTGTAGCAATGGTCCATTTTGATGCAAGCTGTAGAGTTTTAGGGCAATCATGCAGCCCCAAATGAACTCCAGACAAGTATTAAAACACAAAATTATTTTCTTCAACAATGTTGGTCTAGGCTGAAGATGTAGTAGTGTCACCAGCAGGAAATACTCTAAGAAAAAAAATGTGTATCACCTTTTCAAAAGGTTCACCTCTGAGCACTACCTCTCACCTGTGCTAAACCTCCGATCTCTTTGACGCAGACATAGAGCCTGAACAGGTCCAGGGGCTTCTTGCCCACGGCTGGCAGACTGGCCACAGGCGTGCCCCTCTCCTCCATGAACGTGAGGTACCGATCCACCCACATCTTGCGCTCCGGCTCATTTCCCAGCTCATAGACTTTAGTGATCTTCTCTCCGGTTGTGGTAGAGGAACTCGATTTCTAAATCGCAAGAAGAAACAAAAAGAGTTGGGGGAAGGGTGGGAGGGGGGAGGGAAGAGAAAGTAAGAAACTCACAACATTGAAAAAGAGAAGATGTCAAACAAACTAAAGCTATCACACAACAGTCAGGAATGAAGGCTACTAGTTCAGGCACAAACAGTACAATCTGTCCATATACAGAAAATTCAGCTTTTTAAATAAAGGGCCCAAACTCCCCATTTGCATGTCTTTCACCGATCTGAACTTTGGTTCCCAGAAGGCAAGTTTCTGATGTTGCCTCATGTCATTTTGAGAAGAGGTAGCTCTCACATAGTGCTTCTTATCCACTCATCTCAAAGTGCTTTGTAAGCAGTAATTTGGATAAAATGAAAAACAAGTTTGTCCCACACAAGTTCAAATAATCCTATAACCAAACCAAATCAACCCTTTGCTCCCAAAAAGGGGCTAGAAAACCTGAAAAGTGTTCCTCCAGAACAGGAATTGCACGAAAGTAGTCTGAAGCATGAATCATAGTAAACTAGTACGTCGAGGTGTAGCACACTCTCTAGAGAGTCACAAATGGTTATGCGCTACTTCTTCACACCACCACTGCCCAAAAAGCAAGATGAGCAGGAGTGCCTACAGTACAAGGAGACTGGTGGCAATACTCTTTGTGAACTGCCTGAGCTGAGAATGTTTACGAGTACCTACCACTCTCCTCCCTTGAAAGAGGGCAGAAGATGGGCATCTCGCATGTCCTGCCTTGCAAAGGGAACGTGCGTTCTGACTTGCGGAAAACCAGAGGTGCACAGCAATCAGAGCTAAAGCACCACCAGGAAAGCTAAAGCAGTGGAAAGCAGAGAATTCTTTCTCATGCAGCAGAAGCGCAAGAGTGAACCTATTTTCCTGCTGCTATTTGGGCTTCACAGCTAATGAAAGCTCACGTTATCTCGATGCCCTTTTCTTCTCCATGTGGAGATGGCAGAAAGCAGTGAGGCTGCTCTACGAGCTAATACTTCTCTCCGTATTTTTTCTCTGCAATACAACCCCGTGAGCTGGGCTCTGTGCTTCATGTGAATGGACTGCCCCCCGTCTGCCTCTGATCTGCCAGCAGAGAGGGGGTGCTGCCACTGCAGGGTGACCCTCCTGCTTGCAGAAGGTGAAGTGATTTGCTCAGCAGCGGAAGACGGGAGTGGTTCAGAATTAAACACCAGAGAAAAAGATTGACATAAAGCTTTGTGAAAGGAGCCAAATATATGAAGGGAAACATATCCTTTATGTCTGTATAGTAAAATCCTAAACTTGGTTGTTGATTGCAGTAGACACTTCTTTAAACTCATCTAGTCAATCACTCCTTTCCTACTTTGCCTATTCCTTACTTAGAATAGGAGACAGCACTATTTGGAAGTAAACAGGAACTTATTTCCAGTTGGACGTCTCTAAAGAAGACCCCAGCTGTACCTCATGGATGCTACAGAACCACCTACTCCATCCATGCCCCCACGTAGCGCTGGTGAGGACTGGCACTCACCACCGTGAAAGATGCAGTGGGGTAGTGTCCAGCTGCCAGTGACTCTGAAAGCATTGCCACCATTCATCTTGCACGTTAGCCTGGAAAACATGACAGGCTCTGTGTCTCCCTCCAGCCGTCAGCGGAAACTTGGCAACGCTGGAGGACAGCCAGGAGAAAAGAGATGTGAAGCCAAGGGGGTGACCCAGCAGTTCCATGAGCCATTGCTGTTCTTTCCAGTGAATGGATATTCATTTTGATTAAATAAATAGCCTCCTGCAAAGTTTTCTGCCTGGCTTCCTGATACTGTAACTTCTTTGCAGTAGTCCTTCCTACAGACAGCTATTATTACCTTTCCTACTTGGAAATGAGGTGCAGTCCTGAGTTTACCTGAGCCAGATTCAGTTGTGTTACTACTCCTACCAAAGCCAGTCAAGGCTGAATTTGTTTTACTAATACTAAGTGGCTGGCAGGAAAGTAGTTGGACATGAGTCCTGCAGATTATGCAACGAAAACACAAACTGACTCTGTAATGGCCACCAGTGTACTCTACGCATCACTTGCCATGCATCTGGGTGTTTAAGAAAATCAGTTTAACTCTTTTCATAGTTTGTCAAAGATTGTTTTGGTAGGTGGGTGGAAAGTTGCTACTAATTTGATTTTGTAGTGAGAACAGATATACGATCACACAGGCTTGAACAGCTTAATAAACTGGTGCTACCCCACTACCAACTGCCGTAAGAACAGAGCTACTCTATGGCTCATCAGCATTAATTTGAATCTGACACTTATGATGCCACAGAACTCAAAGAAAAATACAGGGGGGAAATTTCAGCTTTTACCCAGCAGTTTTTGTATGTGCTTATATTCTCACATATGAGGCCACAAAATAGTTTCTATTTCACTTTTACGGTAGTTCACGATTAAGAATGTTCAGATTTACTAGTTTTATGTTTTCACTTTTATATGGTAAGACTCTCTTTTTCAAATCAGATTTAGAGCAGGATGAAAACCAGGTAAGAATTTTTCATTCTGGGTTTTTCTACTATACATCTCAAATGATGCTGCTTTTCAGCAGTGTGGCAGCAGGCTCGAAAATGACAGAATAATCTGAAAACTTTTCACAGCTTATAGAAGGTAAGAAGTGTTTCTTACTGTGTGAGCTTTCAGCTTGTCATGCTTTGTAAAATGGGTGCAATTTTCTGCTAAAATGAAATGTTAACTTTAGAAGAATGCACTGGAGGGAAGAATGCTATTCCTCATGGGCAAAATCTTTTTCTCTGTTTTTATAAATGTAAACACACAAAAAATGACAGATGTGTGCAAGCTGGTCTACACACAAACAAACTTCAGTTCCATGTGGGCAGGTTCAGCTGGAAGCCTAAATTTGCCTATAGGTAAAAATTAATGTTAACCCTCAGAAAGTAAGGTTCTATTACAAAATGATCCCATTAGCAGATTGATAACTTAAATGAGCGCATTCCAGGCAATGCTGGAAGAACACAGATCAAGAGCTCTTCTTCTGTTGAGTTTGCTGATAATTTTAGTGATAACAGAATGCTGGTGCAAACCTGTGCCACATACGTTTACCGATTTAGCTGTACCCTACTCTGCCCTCAACTCTTTTATGTGCTTTGACTGGCTGTGTTTAAATGGGGGATGACAAACCCCCCACATCTGAATATGTGGCTATCAAAGCCAATTCCCATATTAAATTTGTCAACCCCCATGCTTTATTTTCAATACACCTACCACCCATTAAAACTGTATTATACACAGACTCTTTCATGGTGGGTCTGCAGAATCCTTCAGAGCAACACAAATTTCTGTAGGAGTTCTTTCCACGTTAAGGCTGTGGGTAGCTGTTTCTGTACGTATCTCTAAGCATCTACATTTATAGAACTATCTACTGTTCACTTCTCCCACGTCAATAAAGAATTTGCCAATATTACACTTATTACACAGATCTATCTTACTACAGAAAAGGGTGTGCATACGCAGGCAGCAAAACCTGCCAAAGTCCAATCTCCGGTAGAGACTTTTGCAGGACACAACCTTCTGTCAAGATTTCCTCCTGAAGGACTCTGCAGACCCTCACAGCACCACGGAGATGCTGCACTATGCAGGTGTATCCACTGCCATGTTCATGTGGACCTATGGACAGCCAACAGCATTTTATGGGCCTTTTGTAACCTACTGTTTTATTCACGTTGCAGTGACTCTGCACAGTTCACACCCACACTTGCAAATTCTCTTCTAAAGAATTTTAAAGCCACTGTCAGATATGCACAATACATGCAAAATTAGCATAGCAGGAGTGTTCTTTTACCAAAAAGCCCTCAATACACAGTGTTCAACAACTCCTTCTCCACATTTCCTCTTGCCTCACTCCCATCTAAAACTGCTGAGAGGATCCATTTAGCTGGAAGGATCACAGGGATGCTGTGAAGCGAACCACAGACCATTCACCCTTGCTTCTGTCCTCTGCTGGAATGGAGATGTTGTGCTGCATGAAGCAGGTTTGGGATTTAATGAACAGTTTCAGGCTGTTTTCAAGTGTAATGAAATGCCTACAAACGATCGTTCCAGTCTATGTCAGTATGCTGCTGAAGTCGATGAACTTATCCAACACATTTGCCTTCATAGGTAAAAAGCAATCAGCTGATTTACAGCATTTACTTTTCCATCATTCCAAAGCACTGTACGTATCTGTATCTTGTGTACCAAAAAGCTACCTGAAGCTAAAGATGCAGCAGCATTTGGACAGAAGGCCAGTCAGAAGAAACTGAAAGCACAAACTTGCTCCATTTATTTTTCCCAACACTATACTTTGGCATATTTACATGTGAAAAACTCCACATATGTTCATATGATGACTCTAGGATTTGTTACCCAGTTTAGGCAATGAGCTCAGGAATGCATTATCGTTTGGTAGCCTTGTAGAGGAAGAACTCGGATGTGTTAGACAGCCTGTGCAATCACTCTCTTGCTTTCTGCCGAAATAAGCAATACTCAAAAGTAATGGAGTTTTTGGTATCACCCTTTCAAAAATGCTGTTAAGAAAAAGATGAGACTCTGTGGGAACAATTAACACCAGCTGCCTTCTGAGACTCAAAGTCACTGCCAAATAAACATCAAAACATTTAAGGTGGTGCATTTCATGCCATGCTTCCCCTTTGCTCAGGAGATCCACTAGATGTCTGTTGTTTTGGATGGGTAAATCCTTCTCCCTCCAATTGGCCTTCCTCTGTCTGCACCAAGACACTTTTCAACGTCTCGCTTTGTGAAATTTATTATCAAAGAATTGTTGCTAATTTAAGTGCACATTAACACTGGAAAAAAGCCCTCACAAGAATATATTTCAGCATTTTTCTACAGAGAAATTAGGATCATTATTGAATTTAGTAAAAAGAAAGAAAAGAGAACAACATCTATTTTTCTAATTCAAAAAGCAAAGCAAAAATGACCAAGCGGACATTTGCTCCCCATAGGTCATATCAGCTTATGTCTGCATTCTCTTTTCTATAGGTGCATATGGATTTTCTATGTGTGTATATATATAGATACATATATTAGGAAATACATTTTTAGCTATACACATCTCTCTCAGGTTTTTCTTTACCACCTGTATGAGAATGACTACACGTTATTCATCTAAAAAATAGTTTTCTAAAAACACACATGCATCAGGTTTTTTTTCAACCCACAATTCGGGTTATTTCAAAGTAACTGTATGAAGCAAATCAGAAACAATTTTGTTTTAGACTGTGCCCTGACAACCTAATGATTGTATTTCCACATCCATTAAAAATGTTTCCAAAATATACATGGCACCTTTTTCATTGTGCTGAGTCCACAATTTAAACTTTGATGGATCTTAGTTTAATCAGGGGAGAAGATTTCTCATTTTGTTTTGGTTTTTTCCTAAATGATCCTAGCAAAGACAAGTGCAGCAACCAGAGTGAAGTCAGTTGTGTGAAGGAGTTTGGGCCCAGGAACAGAAATGGAATTGTCCTTAACAACACAGTCGGCATGCTTGGAAGCTAATGCATTACAGGAAGGATGTTTTCTTCACAACAACTGCTGTGTTACCAGACAGCACACTTGCATGATGCACGCAATTTTACTCTTTCTTATTTCAAAGTACTGTTGGGACAAATTTTGCCCTTGGATAAGCATGCTCAGGCCCCACTGAAGCCAGGCAGTGGAACTTACAGTCATGTGTCCGAGAGCAGAATTTGTACCCAGTGTTATAAGGAAAGAAAACGGTTTAGTGGATAAATAATGAAGAAAAGGAATTTACAAAACAAACAAGCAAGCATTAAAATATAATTACAAAAAAATAAACAAAACAAAACAAAAAACCAGAGCCACTTACAGGGCTTGATGGAGTCTTTGGCCAGCCTGGGCTGCTAATGCTATCACTTTCATCTCCATGAAATGAGGAGATGCTAGCAGAGCTTGGGGACATTGGGGAAGGGACTGGCAGGTTGCCTGGGGTTGGGGGCTGAGAAATACCCTGAGAGCTGTAGCTATCCTGTGGTAGAGGAATAAAAAAAAAAATAATATGACAAAGGCAGGGCAAACTTTATTAAAAACAAAAAAATACATCCAGTTTAACAGACTGACCAATTTTTATATATAAAATATATATAAACAGAGAGACACATACAGAAAACACACACATATATAAATATATTTATATATATACAAAAGATATTAAAACAACATTGTTAATTAGTATAATTTGGAAAGTTTGCTGGATGCTTGGCTAAAGTCACTAAGCCACCATGCTTATTTCAAGCTCACATGGAATGCTAAGCATGGGTTTCCCCTTATGAAAGAAAGAAAAAAACAAGCTGTTCACCTTATTTTATCAAATAAGGCACGAAAGCAAAATATTAAAGTATGTTGTTGCTGCTGCTGAGGCGGCCAAAACAGGAAGCTATAACTGAAGGCAGAGAAAAATGGCTGCGAGTACTGAAACCAGGCAAGACCCTTCTTTCCCACCCACCTGGCACAGCCGAATCCCCACGCAACTTTTGGCTTGGGTTGCTTTGCCCCCGCAAGTTAAAATGCCGTAAGAACTAGTAACTTTCAGATCCACACAATGAAGGAAAAAAAGAAGAAAAATTAAAAGAAACAAAGAGATTGCACGTGAATGGAAAGGCATGCAGGAAAGAACAGAAGTGGGTAGGCCAAAACCAGAAGATGAAGGACAACACAGCAGACTTTTGCGGGCTGAACCAACACCACGTGCTGAGGAGGAAAATACCTTTGACTTGCTCTCGGGCTGCGGGGCTCCTTCTTCTTTGCCATCTGCTTTGAGAGGAAGGGGTAGTTTGGACTCACCGGGTGTCATCATATCTGCAAGACCCATAGGTGCTAATCGAAAACAGAAGAAACAGTTAAGCATGACTATGTTTGGTTTTGTAGGGGAAAAACGCTTCCTGCTGCAAGACTGTGGCGACACGTGAAGCAGGGGTTATCCCACCTCTGTCCTGCTATTCTAGTGTCTGGAAACCTGGGAAGCCTCTTCGGTTGAAGTGAGGAAATAACAGAGGATGAATGAGGGGAGAACACAAGCACCAGGAAACAACAACAACCACTTTACAAAGTAGAATTCATTTTTCATGCTGCTGGTGGTCTTCAACTGTTTCCACATCTGACCACTACATTTTAACAGAACACAGTCTATTTTATAACTACTGCACCTTCCCTTCAGCAACAGGCAAACGTAAATGGAAATGATGTGCATTTTGCTGGCAATGTTGAATACAAGAAAAAGGTTTAGTTTCCCAAATATGTCTGTATTAAGGATGGTGTTCAGCAAACAATTCCTGCCCCTACCGACTTCAGTATGAATGGCTCAGCTGTTGTGAGCCTTAACTACAGAAGTACAAGCTGTAAACTCCGCTGCTGGAGAACTGGCACTCGACTTCTTCCCCTCCTGCCAAAATGAGGTGGGACTGTAATGAACGCGTAAATGTCTTTCTCTGATAATGGCATGCAGTTGCTTCCAGGGATGTGAGGAGTTTAGGGGGTTTTTATTCTATTTGAAGATGCAAGAGCTAAGTATAGTATTATTGCTGCAGAGCTGCTGGGTTCCTGGATTTCTAGAAAGATGCAAGGAGACACATTCAGATAAAGAGACAGAAAATACTGGGCAAAGCATGTGCCAGGAGGTGCCATGACACTGAAACAATGCAAATCACCAGAGAAGAGCAGCAAAACACCCAGTGACTCTTTTCCTGCAGAAAACCATGTGCACAGCATTTATGAAGGACTGGATTGTCTTCCCTTCATCTCCCTTTTCTCTTCCCCTCATGTCCTTCTTTCAAAGAAGGATCCAAGATAAGAAAAGTATAGGATAGAATAACCTACAGGCAATGAAAAAGGAAAAAAATACATATCCCAAACATATAGACTTTAAGAATCAGCAAAGCATCACTGTTAAAACAAAATAAAAAATCAGATCATTACCAGACTGGTGTGACTCTCTGCAAAATGACAATGCTGGCACGCACAGGCAGCAGGCACAGGGCAGAGTACGCCAAAGAGATGAGCAGCAAAAGAGGCTTTAAAAATACTTCACAGATTGCCCACTACATAATGATTATTGCACATATTCATGTATTACTGTGTTTTAGAAAATAATTAGTTTTAATTACAGCAGTGAGAGCATGAGCAGGACTCTGGCGAATATGCTGGCAAGCTTTGCAGTGCTAATTTGCTAATATCTTTAGCATCACTGCAGGTTGAGACTATGGGTCTGCCAAAAAAACCTACCCAGCCATGTGCCGTGTGAGTTTACAACTGTACGCTCAATATTCAGCTTTGAACTGCCGGTGTTTTTCATGGGCACATTTTCTTGTTTTTTCAAAGCACATTTGTAGCCCAATCAAGCCCTTAAAGTCATCACAACACATAAATCATAATTGAGATTAAAAAAAAATAAATTACTTGCAATACTTAAAGACTTCAAGAACTGGAACAAAAAGCCTTTTTCAAGAGATGCAGCTGCAGAGAAAAATCTATTTGGATCAGCTAAAAATGCTGTTATTTTTATGTATGTGTGTGAAACCTCAACAAAACAGCCAAGGAATATGATACTGGGAAGCCAGCATCCACTAAGCATTTGATATGTATGCATTTTGCCCCTGTACTCTGTTTGAGGAGTTCGGACAGCTTGCAACCATTATGAAGTGAAGGATGGCAGCCTAACACATTTGAGTTTTGAATTCCACAGTTTAAAAAAAAAGTTATTTTTCTTCTAGAGATTGTTTAAAATACATGTACAAAATGGCCAAATGTTTGTCAGCCTGGTTTCAAACTGGGATGCAAAAATGTTGCACAATAAACATTTTAACAGTTAACACATTTTATGCTGTGAAAGCGCTAAAAAAGAAGTCCTAGTTCTAGTTTCAAAGCCAGCAAAGATGACCGTTCCCTTCCAAAGCAATTTCAGAGAGGTCAAACAAAGCCAAGTTAACAATCACGCTTCTTCACGAGAATTCTGCAAGGCTAAATCCTCCGCTGGTATCTCACTGTTATCTAGGTTGGCACATTGTATTTCTATTACAAAGAATATAATAACTGTGCCCTGTTTCTATCAGAATTCCTTTTAAAAATCTCTTTTCCAGAGAGGTTTAAGTTAACACCCCATGTAAAGGGCAAGTAACTCTAGTTTGCAAATGACCACACGTGTTCTGATTGTATTAATCATGTTTACAGATGTAAAAAAACAGATCCATTTTGGCTTCTGACTATTTCTCATTGGCATATGCAAATATAACTATCAGCAGGTGGAGATAATTATGAAAAAAACAATAGTTTCCCAAATTCTGTTTCACCTTTAGTGCTGAATTATTCACTTCATCTACATCTTTTCTTTCTACCTATAAGAGCAGAAGTGCAAGGGTTTTACTAGCAAATTGCAAGGTTGTCTAGTTTCCCTGGAGCTTTTACCCAAGATGTTTCCACAGCTACTTTTCTATCCACTGCTGAAATGCTGTTTCATAACTTCTTGCAAACATACTCTCCATCGATTTGCAAACAGACATTCCTGCACTTTTTTTAGCAAGGCAGTACAGTGAGAACATTGTTTTGACCCTTTCTGAGCGGTGACATACTGTTATTGTCACGCAACTGCTAAAATAAGACACGGTCTCTTTCTACACAGGTACTAATAATTCTGCGTGTGAAGTGCAGACCAAAGGATAAAACATTTTAGAGAGGAGGATAACAGGGAAATCTTGACTCAGAAAGTGTTGTAGTGTACTGTGAATAGGCTTCAAGTACTAGCCTCTGGCTTATTATAAGAATTTAAGAGCTAGAGTGATTTCAAAAAGCAAGTAAGGGTCAAGGTCCTGAATTAACTATTCCACACTGAATTTAATGTACTCAAAGGCAGATAGCGACATGAGTAAAACTGCAGCAAAGTATTCTTTTTCACTAAAGGTTGCTCTATCAGTCCCAGAAGATGATGAAACGCTGTAGGAGCAGCAATACACAAATATTGTTTTTCTCTTTATTGCTAGTGCAATAACAAATCACACTCTACGAAACAGAGTATTGCATCCTTAGTAAGCCATTCCTTCTTCCCTCCCACCCCTAGCACTCCCCCGTCCAAAAAAAAAAGAATAATAATAAAAAGCAGTGAATCTGTGACTCGTGGAGTTGGCAAGATCCCCACTGCTTTTATGACCATGGGAGAAACGGAAGAGGGACAACAGCATTGCCCAATGTCCTACCACGAATGACCACCCCTTAGAGAAAACCACATCCCAGGGCGCTCGGGCACCTCATCTGAAAGGGGCTGAGTGGGTGACCAAGGACCTCATAGCTGCACCTCCTCATAGCCTACCCAATCTCGTCCAAGGATGACAACTGCCTGCGGTTTGGGATGCAGGTATCTCCATGCCAGGAGCTGTCTCAATTTACAGTCACACACTGATTACGGTCATCACTTGTTTGGTGTACAGGTGATGGGACACTTCAGCTGCTACCAACTGCTGACATTCTTCAGAAAATATGCTTAAATGTGCATTATATAATAGCTCATACCAAGACATGAGTTAGAGAAAAAAAAGTGAAATAAATAGAGGTTTCTGTTATTCAGAAAATAAAAATGTAACCAAGCTGTGAAACAGGAAAAACAAAATAAAATTTCTAAAAAATGCTTCATATTCATAAATATGATTGCTTTCTCTGTCAGAGGTCCATCCAATTAAATACAAAGTCAAATACATGTAATATATATGAAAAGGTGAGTGCTGTATCTATTTTAAAGGTTATTGTTAAGGGCATGCTTCTACTTCCTTTAGTGCAAATAACTTTTCCTAGAAATTCATGTTTTATGTAAAGTACTACAATGTTTAAAATTTGCTGGGAATAACAGTACCCAGAAAAAGGAAGGTTTCAGTAGGACAGAGGTAGTGAAATCAGGAAAAGATCCTTGTGGCAGTAAGGAGACTAATGCCCTTTTATTGTTTTGTTCACCTCAAGAGGTAGCAGAAATTACGAGTGCCAGTTTCTGTGCAAGCACAATATGGAAGTCTGTGAGATCTAAACACTTATTTTTAAAGATAATTTTCACTAGAATTAACAAGGCTCACAGCATGAAATCATTACTTTATTTATGTTGAGTTTTTTAAGGGTTTTTAAAAAATTATATCTGTTTTTAAGGCTTTAATTTAGAAAATGGGGGAAAAAACCTAAAATATATAGAAGAAGTGTGAACTAATACAACAAAAGGACAGTGGAGGTTATACAATTTTTTCTGAATGGCAGTTTGTTCCATAATTGTGAAGGGATTCTGGCAGTTTTTCTTGAAGCTTTTGGTATTGTTATGGATGACATACTCTATCAGAAGGATCTATATGCTTTGATCTCGTAATTTCTGTGTTCCTAAACTGCTCTACATCAGCAGAAGCTGGTGATCTGTTGTTTGATCCACAGTCACTGATAAAGTATCAGTATGCAGCTCTGCGACACCGTTTTCCTTTCAGTTGTGACATTAATTAAAAAAGCTAAAGAGAAAAAAGGATCAACTGGTAATAAGGAGTTACAAATACTAATACAAACGTGTGGCAAAACCAGTGTTATACTTAGCTGTACTGAAGCTCCAAAACCATACGAAAACAATTCCAAACAGCATCAGCAATCTCCTCTAGTTTAGAGAGTAAAACCTAAAAGTACATTTGCTTGAAATGAATAAAACCAAAACCTACCTTCCTCCCTCAAAACAGGCAACACAACTGCAGTCTCCAAAACCCAGAGAGCCAAGAAACCAAATTCTCCCTATGGCTTACTGTAGTTTTTCATTGGCCTCCAACTGCAACCAGAGCTGTTCATGCTCGGCGCACGTGAGTGGTCAACTAATGCCCCCAGCAGCAGCCACCCAGGTGCACAGGGTTTTGGGTGTACACCTGGGCTGAACGCTGTTTTATCTGACAGATGTGTGACTTTACGCCAGCCAAGGAAAAAGGCTCAAGAGCCAGAGCTGAGCTGGTCATTGTATCACAGAAAATGCAGTTTTCAAGCCCAAAAGCAGGCATCACCTGTGAGTTCTCCACCTTGTAAAATGCAGAGCCAGAGCTGACCCCGAAGCGCTCCCTCAGCTCAAGACACCACCACTTTAAGCACTGCATTTACACTTCATTCCTTTGATCCAAGCAGAAGGATGAGCCAGGATAGGGGCCAGTGCAGCATTCCCTCTGCACGTGTCCCCCGTGGTTTATCCACCCCTAATTTTCTCTTTTTGTTCCCCCTGTACCAACGCTGTCCGTGTGCTTCTGGAGGCCGGCTGCGGAAAGCCATCTCCTGCAATCTAGACGCACGTCTGCTCGTACACAGAGAAAAAGAGGTGCGCTGAACTCCTCTGGTTCATCTCAGACTTACTTTCCATTGGGTAGTCTTTGAATTAATAAAACTGGAACAAAAGAAAACCTCACAAATGCACTGGCAGAAAAAAGCCCTGATAAATGTTTAAATTATTAAAAATCCAATATTTCAGAATGCATAACACAATAAAAAGAGTATGACTACCCCATACAAAAGACTGCTAGGATAAATGGCCTTGCATTGAACAGATTTCCACTGTATGAAATAACGAATGGCTGAATTATCTGAACAAAAAAACCTCTGTGAATCTTCCTTTAAACTGGTTATTCCTTAGGAATACATAAATCTTCTTAGGCAGGGCACTCTGCCATCTGTTTGCTGTTGGTTATTTTTGCAGCTCTGGGGGCCAAAGGAAAAGGGGGAAAAATTACTTCTGCTAATAGCAAAACAGAATTTATAGCTCAGTTTCAATGCTCAGAAGTAATTTTATTTCAGCAAGCCAGACAAAACACATAACTACACAAACAAAACATAATATTACCTGGGACAGCTCTGGTGGGGGAAAAGCAAGCTATTATCTAATGGTCTTTTTAACAGCTTTTCCCTCTTCATCCAGACGGTGAAGTGTGCTGTCTGCACTAACCAATGGCTTCCAAGCCAGCACTGGAAAAAGCCTTTTCTTTTTGGTTTTCTTTTCTTTCATTATTTTTAGTTTTTTTTAATCTTACGGATTAACAGCTTCCTTTCTGTTTCTTCAGCTAACCAAGAACAACAGAATATTCTCGAAAAATAAAGACACTGTTAAGTGTCTCAGGAGCTCCTATGTAGAGGAAAAAGACCCCCTGGACACACCAGACACGAGGATCTCATAGTGGCCATTTTCTGCCCAAGAAGCGGGGACATCTAAATCTGATAGGGAGGAAATACAGGGAAGGAGGCAAAGGATGAAGGAACAAAACAGGCTGAGCGGGGCAGAGAGGAAGATACCAAAATACAGGCTCTCGGTAAGATACAAGGTAAGTAGTAAGGCATCTTTAAAGAAATAAACAAAAGTAGAAACAAAATCAACTAAGAAAGAACATAAAATCACCTTAGCACAACCTATCCTGCTTTCAGAAAAACTTCCAAACCCCCAACATTTCAACAAGGGCTAATGTAATCAGTAAAGCATGCACAGAAACTCCATGACTGGAACAAGCACTTGGGAGGATCCACTTCAGGGTCACTGAAACTCCCTCCAAACCCACCCCAATCACAGAATTGATTCCACTGAAGTATTATCTTGATGGAGGATAACTGTTAGGAGTCCAGGCTGAATATGGTCTATAAAGCACATTTGCACAGAATTCACCTGTCTTCAGTCACACACAAAGCTGCAAAAAGTTCTAAATTCACAAGTCATGAGATGAAGGATAAATCCAGCAGCTACACTGAATATACTTTTTTTCCTTGCAAAAGGAGGCTATGACTAAATTTCATATATTGATATTTAAATAGGTAAATGAAGAAACCCTATATATGGTTATATGAATTCTGGCAACAGTAAATATGGCCTATGTTTTCAGTACAGAGTAATTATTTTAAGTGCTCAACTTACAGCACCTTCAAGTCAGAGCAGGTGCACATCTCTTTTTTTAAACCAGTACCGCGTTGAACATCTGAAATTGCAATCTTGGGAAGGAAGTAAGACACTGAAAAGCAACAGCAGCCTCTTTAAAGACGGGGCTTTTCTTCTTCCTCCTCTTGCGGATGCACACACACAAATACTCTTGCTAGTCAACACCTATGTCAAACTGGGTCCGAGCGTTGCTGGAACTGTTCAAAACATTGCACTCGTCTACATGCTGTGCAAAAGGACTTAATGGAAAATGTACGAGTTACTGTACAAAAAATGCCAATACTTTAGCCTAATTTTGAGTCACCCCAAACTACCCAGCACGGGTGAACCACACGAAGAAGGCTGCTCTCCACCACCAGCCCAGGACTGGTGCCATGCAGCAGGTTTGTGGAGGAAGGTTACCCACCATTACCTGTTGAACTGTTCACCATGTTAGGTGCCATGCTGTAAGGAGGAGCCTGCGGGTTCATCAGGCCAGAGCTGTTGTTCATCGGCTGAGTGTAGGGGGAGCTGGATCCCATAATACCGCTCTGATTCATGGCAGGAAAATTGCCTTGCCTACGAGAAGAAAAAGCACACACACGATGTCTCATTACGTACCTCGTCGCTGGAGACGCTGTGGTTTGTCACAGAGTACATCTCCTATTGCTTGCAAATAGCTAAGGAGAAGGCACACAATTAGTTCCTTTTACCTACATGGAGAGCTATTAGTCTTGAATTAGTTACTGTATATCTGAGATAGAATTGGACTAAACCCAAATTTCAAGAGATGTACACAGTGTCTTCATACGTCACAACCAATCAGCAGAAAAATACAACTCATTATTTATCCTGTGAGTAGACAGCAATGTGATCAGAAGTCAAAATCGGAACGTAAGGTTGGCATGAAATAACTTCAGTGAATTGCAATTTTGATCATGTAATAGAGATCTTTCCCTGCCATAGCTTAAAAAACAATGAAATGACCAGAAGAAAAATGGGTACCACAGAATCTGTTTCAGATTTCTGTATCTGATGTTATCGCATTGAATAAAATGCTCATCTTGTGCATGCCATCTATGTCCAACCTTTCAAAAAACCATGTATAGACTATACTTTGTTGAAATGGGAAACCTCAGCAGAACTATTCTGGTTTTGAAAATTAATCACATAGCCGTATAATGCTTTCATAACTGAGATTTAAGTTTGTCTGAACAACTGCCCTAAATGAAGAAGCCCTTACCTAATTCTCCACATCTTCAGATGTTAAAATCTTCAGACCAAATATTTTTGAAGGCTAAACCTTATCTACTCTTAAGAGCCAGAAAGTACCTAAGGATGCTTTGCACTTGATTTATCAAATTCTACAGCTAAACTGAGGCACAAGGAAGAAAATAATTCAATCCAAGTAAGATGAATCACCCAATGTCATGCTTGATCCAACTTCAAAAACAACTGCTTATTCTTTTAATCCATAGTGTAATTATCTACCTTTTCTTGGTATAGTTGAAGATGGCCTATATTACGATACAGACTTATACAGATAAAATCATACATATAAATTAAAACACATACAAAAATATACTTACTTGTATATTCATAGCCTACATAGGAAAATACAAAACTCAGATCTGTTTCTTCAATGTATCCCCCGTAAATTTATGCTGTTTTTCCAAATAAAGGAGACAAGAAAAGGAGGCAACCACTCCTTTACACAGCCTTGATGCATCTCTGCTTCTTTTTTTTTACATGAAAAACAGAGCATTTAGGTTTAATCCTACAGTCAGGGAAAGCAGAATGCCCTGGTAGCAAGATGGAGTTTCGGTATAATTTTTATGGTTTATTATTATTATATAGTATTCAAACAAAACTGCCAACCCCGAAACCAACAACTCTGAATAACTTCAATGGCTTCTTGTCTTCCCCAAAGTCATGGCAGATTCTTAACGCAACTGGTAGAAATGGATTCCTTTTTTAGGAGGTACAAGAGGAAGACCATTAAAGCACTATTTGGCCTAATTTTTCCTGACACATTGTGAATTTCTTCAAAGGAAAAGAGAATGTGTTATCTAAATAAAGCATCTTTTTCCAAGTCAGTTTTGTCCTCTGCTCTCTGAAGGCTTTTCTTCACTCTAGGAAAAACGCAAAGGCTTTCTTTTGATATGAAGGAGACAACTGCCATACAATGTCATTTCCCTGATGAAGCTTGCAATGAGCAGCGGAGGGAAAGGATTTAAAATGCACAGTGGTGCAATGCTCCAAGGGAAAATTACAAAGGGAAAAGAGGAGAGCAGGACCATTTGGCAACAACTGTGAAGGATTTCAGTCGTACAATCAAGCTTTTCTTATGTAAATACTGCATCTTAAACACCCCCACCCTCCTTTTTTAGCTGAATATTGCTATAATTCAACAAATGCGGTTAACTGAAAAGTTCTTTCTATGCTGGATAAGCGATATCCTTTCTATTACTGGGTATAGCCACCAGTGAAGATGAAGAAAGCGTGCAAGTGCGTTTTGACACTTTAAAAAAAGAAGTAATAGATTTTGAAAGGTTCTTATACGGAATAAGGCTGGGATTCTGGAAAAGACAGAAGTCCCTGTAAGCATCTAGCTCTCCAATGTCCTTCTTCTGCCTCAAAAATACACAGGAGAGATGCACTTTGCAGGGAAGCTGGAATTGGTCTTGACCTGTTAATATTTCAATACTATTACTTCCTATAGCATGTATCTCTTTTAAGCTATGGGGCAGTTCATTGTCTCAAACTGAGGTACAACCTATTTGATGTCACCCACTATGGACATCAATCTCAATTGCAGTTCATGAAAGCGCACTGCTGTACAACAGCTTTAAATCAAAAAGTAGGAAACTATTTCCAGTTTAGATGGAGAGTGGAAATTAAATAAAAGGAACATACTCGCTTTAGACAGGATAATAAGAAAACCACCAAAACCTAAAAAATTGGCTTCTCTACCCAGAAAGACCCGAATGGCAGAACCTAATTCCAAAAATTTCATCTGGCAAGGCAATTTTCCTTTTTAGGGGGTCAAGTGCATCTGTCACATCCTCCCATGAATGCTTGGAACGGACACAGCTCTCCATCTCTGGAAAGAGCCCAGCAAGACTCGGCACCATCCCTGGCAGAACTCTGTCCTTCCCTAGCCCCTACCAAATCACCGACCCCAGCGTGTGTGAGCTGGTTCAGTTAACGCTGAAAGGCAACATCCCGCAAGAGTAAACGCTACTTTATCCTGAGATTGGGTGCAGCGTGCAATACCGAGCTCTTCCACATATTATTCTGCTCTATGATGGCTTGGAATGGAAAGTTTCTTTTGGGAGAAATAATCAGGTATTACTTCAGCCTTTAATTCCCACTCCACAGTGGGCCTCCTTTGAGTAAAGACTGCCGACTGTGACAAATCGTGCTGCATCGGTGCTATAATATGAAGCGGAGTCCATTAAGAACTGAGCTGAGATCACCAAACTCATTTTGATTAACCTCCAGGTCACTAAACACTTATAAATATGTTACACAGCAGCTGCTAACATATTTATATAAGCTTAAGGTCACAGCATCATCTGTTGGTTGTTGGAGTTAAGTCAAAAATCTTATGTTTCCTTCTGTGCCGCTTTTAGTAAAGGCACATCCAACATACTATTTAAGAAGCAGTTATCTCAAAGCATACTACCAGACTCTCTCCTATATCTCCCAATTCCCTCCTCCATTCTTCTGGGAGGCTAAATAAAAATCAAGGCTTTTAAAAACAGTCTGCTGCACACGTAGTGACATCTAATGGCAAAGACTCAACTGACCGGCTATGAATTCTGTAATAGAACCAACCCAGCTAGGAATACGATTTTACAATATTTACCACATAAACTCCAATGGCTGGGTTGCTTAGGGATGACACAAATGGCAATTAGGAATAATTGGAAGAAATTAAGAAACACCTGATCTTTAGTATAATGAAAAAACATCTTCATGGCGAGATGCAGTTACCCTCCAAGGGAATCAAGGAAACCTCAGTACTTGACACTTGTGCACACAGACAACACATCAGAAAAGGTACTGGTCAGAGAAATCCTGCATTACATATGAACTAGATGACCTGTCAGGTATTTTCCAGCCCTAACTTCTCCAATACCCTGATCCCAGACCATGTTTTTTTCCCCATTTAGAAGAAAAAAGCAGCTGGGCCAATATAGGATTATGCTATCCATTTAAACACTATATTTAAGCCTACACATTTCTTTTTTCTGCTCTACTGCTACAAGTAGAACTCCAAGTATTCAGCAAATGAAAGAGATTAAAATTGGGAAGGGGGAGGAATCTCCTCGCTTTCTGTGCCTTATTTACTCTGTTGACAATTCAGTATTTCACTGCGCTTGTGCAATGCCAGAGACAGTTGTTGTGCTCGAGGAAAGGGGGACACAGACAGGCTGGAGGAATGTGTTGACAGGAACCTTATGAGAGTCAACAGGGGCGAGCGCAAGGTCCTGCACCTGGGGAGGACGAGCGCGCCGAGCGGTGCTGGCTGGGGCTCTGCTGAAAAGCCCCTGGGCACCCTGGCAGGCAGGGAGCTGAGCTCAGCCAGCAGTGTGCCCTGGCAGCAAAGAGGGCCAGCAGCATCCTGGGCTGTGTGATCTGGGGCCAGGAGATGGAGGGAACTGACCATCTCTTTACTTGGCACTCATTAGAGTCCATCTAGAGTACTGTGTCCAGTTTTGGATCCCCCAGTAAAGGAAAGATGACGATAAACTGGAGTGAGTTTAGCAGAGGGTCCCTTGGATGGTCAGGACCTTGAGCTGAAGGACGAGGACTAATTCAGCCTGGGACAGAGATAGCTTTTGAAAGGAGCCTAACAGCAGCCCCCAGCACCTACAAGGAGCTCAGCAAGAAGACGGAGCCAGGCTCTTCACAGTGGGGCACGGTGGGAGGATAAGGGACAACGGGCAAGAGTTAAAACACGAGAAGTTCAGACTGGACATAAGGAAACTTTTCCCAGTGAAATCAGTCAGACACCGGATTTGGTGGCCCACAGAGGTTGTGCAGTCTCTGTCCTTGGAGGTGTTCAAGACCCAACTGGATAAATGCCTGAGCTCTCAGCTGAACCTGCTGAGGATGAGGTTTGACCAGAGAGCTCCTGAGGTTCCTTCCAGCCTCAGTGACCCTATGATCTTAGATTTCCAGCTTGTCTGGAAATGTGGACAGTGCTGTGGACAGTCGGGTGTACTACTGGGTCCAAAATACAACTGGTCAAATTCAAAACATTCCCTTTTACGAAGGTCCTGTTCTGCTCTTTTGTTTTCCTTTGTCTGCAATCTACCCAAAGCTTAATCTGCACTTAATCTCTTTTCTCTGCAAAACAAGTAGCATCAGATCTAATTGTGTCTTCTGAGCTAATGCAGAAGGACATGTATTTAAAGAGAGGAGATGACATGCAAGATCTGGTCATCGTTAAAATGCAGAACAAAAATTATAAGGAAGAAGAGCACTGACAGCACAAGAAGCACACGAGTGTCACAGCTGCCGAGCAGTCTCTCTTGTACGGAGATGTCTTCCTCTAATTGGACCTGAAA